CTCTTCTTTCCAGAGCAGACCTCCACCTTTCCAGGTGTTCCTCCACCTGCTCTCTGCTCTCACTACAGACCACAATGTCATCCACAAACATCGTTGTCCATGGAGATTCCTGTCTGACCTCATCTGTCAACCTGTCCATCATCATAGCAAACAAGAAGGGACTCAAAGCCGATCCTTGATGTAGCCCCACCTCCACCTTAAACTCCTCTGTCTGACCTACCGCACATCTCACTACTGTCGTACTCCTCTCATACATATCCTGAACTACTCTGACGTACTTTGCCACTCCTGACATCCTCATACAGTACCATAGCTCCTCTCTCGGCACTCTCTCGTACGCTTTCTCTAAATCCACAAAAACACAATGTAGCTCCTTCCGACCATCTCTATACTTCTCCATTAACATTCTCAGAGCAAAAATTGCATCAGTAGTGCTCTTTCTGGGCATGAAGCCATACTGCTGCTCACAGTTATCCACTTCTTTTCTTAGCCTAGCTTCCACAACTCTTTTCTATTGCTTCATTGTGTGGCTCATCAACTTTATATCTCTGTAGTTGCTACAACTCTGCACATCACATCTGGATTGGCACTAGTACACTTCTCCTCCATTCCTCAGGCATCTTCTCACTCTCTAAAATCCTGTTGAACAAACTAGATAGAAACTCCACTGCTGTCTCTCCTAGACACTTCCACACCTCTACAGGTATGTCATCTGGACCAATAACCTTTCCACTCTTCATTCTCCTCAGAGCCTTCCTCACCTCATCCTTTCTAATCTTTGCTACGTCCTGCTCTACAATATTCACCTCTTCCCCCTTCTTTCCCTCTCATTTTCCTCATTCATCAGTTCCTCAAAATACTCCTTCCATCTTCTCTGCACACTCTCCTCACTTGTTAGCACCTTTCCATCTCTGTCTTTAATCGCCCTTATTTGTTGCACATCCTTCCTGTCTCGCTAATCTGTACAAGTCCTTCTCACCTTCCCTCATGTCTAACCTGGCATACAACTCATCATATGCTTTCTGTTTGGCCATTGCCACCTCCCTCTTCACTCTACGCTGCAATTTCTTGTAATCCTGTCTACTGTCTTCAGTCCTTTCTACATCCCACTTCTTTTTAGCTAGCCTCTTCCTCTGAATGCTGTCCTGTACTTCCTTGTTCCACCACCATGTTTCCTTATCTTCTTTCCTCCTTCTAGATAACACACCTAGCACCTTCCTACCTGTATCCCTGATCACTTCTGCTGTAGTTTCCCAGTCATCTGGAAGTTCTTCCTGACCACCCAAAGCCTGTCTCAACTTCTGTCTGAATTCCTCACAACATTCTTTCTTTTTTCCCCAACCACTTGGTCTTCTTTTCTGTCTTTCCTCTCCTCTTCTT